TTTTAGTTGCATACTCCAGTCCACTTATTAATAGAGTTAATATCATCATGTAGATTGTTACAATTATTATTATTATTATTATTTTTTTTAAGGTGCCCCAAGAAAAACGACTAGTTATTTGAAAAATAATTAGACGTTTTTTCCGCGGTGCTCTGTGATAAGACCAAACGGTCTTACCACAGAGCACCGTGGAAGTTCACGCCAATGTCGTAAAACTTGCTCAGAGGTGGGGTTTGAACCACAGATCCTTTGTTTCTGAGGCAAGTGCGCTACCACTGTGTCACTGCTGCTCATTTTGTATTATATGAAAAACTTTGAAGTCATTAGCGTAAAGTTTGCATTTATTTTTTAACTTATTAGAAAGATCATTGATAAACATTAAAATAAGAATTGGTCCTAGAACAGATTCCTGCAGCACACAAATTGAAACAATAATGTGAGACATGTAAACAATAATGACATGTGAAACAATAATGTGAGTCATATTCAAAAGATCCTGTTGCTACAAAAATCTAAGGGATCGTCCATAAATTACGTAACGCAAAATTTCACAACAAACAAAACAAAAAAAGATCAAAAGTTTTCCCTCGCAGAGTCTTAATTTAAATTGATAATCAAAATAGGAAATTAAGTTAAATGAAAATCGCCGCGTAAAAGAGAAAAGAAAAATATCTCCTGCTAATGTTTTTAAAATATTTTTTGCGTTGCAAAATCCCTAATTAAAACCATCGCATTGGATTAAAACTGTCAATTTTCTATAATTTTTCACTTCGGTTTAAAGTTGTAATTTTTTACACTTTTATAAAATTTTGAAACTTTTTTTTTGAAGTTTACTTGCACTCAAAATTTTATTTTTCACATCAGTGCCGACTAATGAGAAGCTGTTTTTGCTATACTTTAATTGCCAACTTTTACTAATTAATGTAGGAGTAAATAATTGGAGAAATAATTATAACGGAGGAAAACTAACAGAAAATGTTTGACTAAATAAAGTGTGTTTATGGACATAATAAAGTAAAACTATTAAATCACTTTTCACTAATTAAATAAATATTTCAACGAAATGTTTTATTCAAATTATTGTTCAAGTTAACACCTTTCTAAACTATGTTAACTTATTACGATTGAAGTAGTTACAAATAAAGATAATAGTTCCTTATATTTATTTAAAACATTTTATAAATTATAAATTATGAAGTAAAAAGTGTATCCTTAAGGTGGTTATGTTGTAAAAACTTCGCAATTTCAATTTAAAAAATTAATTTTTATTTTATTAGCTAACTTTTTATAAAATTGACTGGCTTTTCAGTTATATATAACATGATATCGATTATCACTAATATATAACACTAGCTGAGATCGGACCCGTAAAAATACGGGTCTTTGTAAATCTATTCCAAACCGAGCTTTTCTATACTTTTTCTTTATCCTAGCTTTCCGGATCTGTAAAATACAGGTCTTTACCAATTTACAAATATATTCCTCACCGATTATTTTTATGCCTATTCCTTATTTAATTCAATATACTTTAGTAAAATAATTTATTCTGAAAAAAAACTTTAAGAGCAAAAAACTTACCATGCACACCTTTTCCGCATACGTAGAGCTTATAAGAGACTTATAATTATGTTTGTTTTTCTGCTAAATGCATTTCATTGATAGCTCAGTGGTTAAAGTGCGCTGTCATCAGTGTTGCTTTGGAGAGTTTTAAGACCTCCTCTTAGCGTAATAATTTTTGAAATTTTTTCTATCTTGCTTATATATTTATAGCGAAAAGATAATAATATAGCAAAAAAGATTTCTAAGGTTTAAAAAAAAACTTTTATTGATATATAAGATAATATATAAGATAAAAAAAAAAGTTTTAAATAAAATTTTAAAAAGTTTTCTCACTTTGTAGATATATAGATATACGCGATTATTCCATATAATGCCTGCAAAACTCAACCTATGCTAAAGACGTTTACACTTACACTGTAAGTGTAAACGTCTTTAGCATATGTTGACAAACGGCTGTAAGTTACAGCCGTTTGTGCGTAACGCTACGCGAATGGAACTAAGAAGATCTTAGAGCACTAAAACATAGTCATAAAAAAAAAAACTTCATTCTTATGATTATGATTAAGAACTAAAGAATAATATTAAACGCTAATCTAAAAGTTAAGTCAAATAGATTTTGCGCAATGACGTCAGTTTGTGGCAAAATAAACTTTAAAGCCGTCAAGTTTCCTTTTTCATTTATCTTACATTTTTTTATTAATTTTAATTACGTTGCATACAAATGCATAAACATATGTTTGTTTTTTTGCGGAAACGTTGCAGTGAGCAGACGCTTTTTAACAGCTCTTCAAGTATTTATAAATCCATTACTACTTAAGTAGTTATAAATTATTAAAATAAAAGATAAACTTTTTATTATTAAAATAAAAGGTAAATTTAAAATGTCAGTTACTCTTGTAGAAGTTAGAAAAATGCTGAAGCAAATGCTTTTGGAATATAGAAATGAAATGGAAACAATGCTAAAACAACAACAACAAATATTTATAGATATCTTAAGCACAAATACAAAAATAATTAACGAGAGACTTGACAAAGTAGAAGAAAACTCTAAAGAAAATGCAAACAAAATAAAGATATTAGTTAAAGATATCGAAGACATAAAATTGAGCTTAAATTTTCATGATGAAGTTTTTGAAAAAAAAATCGCTATCCACAAACAAAACAACGAGCGAGTAGAAAAGGAAAACATTACAACGCAAAATATAAATGAAAAGCTATGAAAGTTTTATGGTAGATCAAGAAGAAATAATTTAAGAATAGATGGATTACCAGAAAGTGTAAAAGAAACATGGAATGAAACTGAGGATAAAATTAAATTATTTTTAGTAAATAAGTTGGGGCTAAATGGGATAGAAGTTGAACGAGCTCATCGAACTGGAGCCAGAAAAAACGGAAGCTCCAGAACAGTTATATATAACTGTTAAGATATAAGATATAAGATAGAAGTAGTCGAGTTAAAAAGATAGCATAGAGTAGCAAAAATGTAGCTTTTTTTAATTTTGGTTAACACCCACCTTAAGTTTTAGACAACTTTTTTTTCAGACCATCCGCAGCTTATTAGGACTAATTACCTGAGCACAAGTAATAAGTATCTTTTTTTTTTTTTTTTTTTTGTTTTTGTTTTGTTATTTAGGTGCCCCAAGAAAACCTAACGGTGATGTCACAGAGCCCCGCGGAAGTGCATTTAACCAGGAAGTTATATTTACATAAAATATGTCTAGAGCTCGTTTCGAACCTGAATTTCCTGCTTATAAAGCAAGCGCTGTCACCACTGGGCCACGGCTGCACAATTATCTCAAGTATCGACACATACGCAACAAATTTTTTCTCCCGGTGTTTTGATGTGTTTAGAAATTTTAGCTTTTTCCAAATCTTATTGTTCGTTAAAGTGTATAATATCGTTACATATGTTTGTATATAATCTCTATAAAACTTTAAAAGTAATTTAATATTTTAAAATAATTAAAAAAAATTAAAAATAAAGTTACCAGCAGTAGGACTCGAACCACGGCATACTTGTTCAGAAGGTCAGCACGCTATCTACTCGGCCACTCTGGCACGTTGTTAAGCGAAACTTTTTAAAACTATATAATAATTTTTTTAACGGAAGAAAATGTTTTAGATAAAAGTTAAGGATAGCTTGGCTCAATACAATTATCAAGTGAAAATCAAACTATAAAACTTGATAAATGTTTTAGTATGTTTTAACATTACTTAAATTGAAGTTTACATACGTTAGATATTTGCATACACATTCGTTCACGTTTTCTTATAAAACAAAGTACTGCGACTATTTCTCGCCACACCCTCAGTTGCAATGGCTGCCAATGGTTCCGTGTCAAATACGCTCGAATGAGCACTACTACTACTACTACTACTACTACTACTACTACTACTACTACTACTACTACTACTACTACTACTACTACTACTACTACTACTACTACTACTACTACTACTACTTCTACTTCTACTAACACTATTAAGTTCGGCAACAATATATAGAGATAATGTTAATGATATAATAAATTACATAGTGAGCCATAGTATTAAATGTAAAGCCGGCTTAATTGGGATCTTTTTCTTTTTTGTTTTAAATTGTGGGATTATTTGAATAATAAACTTTGTTTAAACTGCAATTTAACTAATTCGCATATACTAAAGTGCAATTTTTGTTAAAAGTCGTTAGAAATATATAGAGTTGAACAGCAAGAATAAAGGGCGCAGACCTTTGAGATGAAAAAGAATATTGTTATTGTAATGAATGTCTGATGGTATAAATTGAAAAACAGTAATTTTAAAATACTTTACAATTAATTTTAATTGACTGTAAAAACAATATCAATTTTTTTGTTTTAGTTTTGGTTTAGTTAAATTTTAGTTTAGTTTGGACTTTTTTTTAATTTTCAGGTTAAAAATTTCAAAAAGACATACGAATCTTGTCAAAGAGGCTCGTGGATGAGCATTTAACAAAGCAGTTTATACCACCTTGTAGAGCGCTTGCTTTAGAAGCAGGAGATTCAAGTTCGAAACGAACTCTGAACATATTTTCGCGTCACGGTAAGGAAGGAGGCGTGAACATCCAAGTTGAATGCACTTCCACGGAGCTCTGTGACAAAGACCGTTTAGTCTTTATGGGGCACCTAAATGACAAAATTAAAAAAAAAAAAAAGTTGTATAATGCCATCAGACCGGCTCAATTGTTAAGTTTGTATTTGTATTATTACTTTTTTAATTTGTAATTGCTTCGATTCAGTTTTTAAGTTTGATTTTAATTTAGAAAGGTTATCTAGTTTTTTTGGTGAGTTTTAACTTTATACGTATTTTTAATTCTTTAAAAATGTTTTAATTCTTGAAAAAATACTTTTTTTTTTTTTTACGTTTATGAATTAAGATACATAAACATCAAAAAATATCCAAAGGTGAAGATATAACAACGATTAAAAAATAAAAATATTTTCAAAATACTCGTAACTATGTTTTTCTTAATTTCAGTAGTATTGAAATTCGCAAAAGCAAATATTTGAAATCTTTCCGAAATGTTCGATTTAACCCCCCGTATATCCAAGGGTTAAAAACACAATTAGCATACGTAAGGATATACACAATATTAACAGCACTTTCATTTTGTGATATATGACTAAAATACAAAGTCATCCAATAGATTTGATTAGGAAGCATGAATATGACAAAAACCGTAACTACAACAGTAAACGTTTTTAATAAGTCTCTACTCTGACGAAATCGTTGTTGTAATGCTTTGTGTTGTAATGCACTGGGTTCTATTAAAATATTTGGAAAGATACAACTTGATAGTATTTGATTTGATCTAGATTTTGTGTTTTGTTTAAGATTTGAGCCATCATTTTGCATTTTCAGTGGACTTTTTTTTTCTTTAAAAAAATCTTTGTCATTTAAAGAAAATCTTCTCAGAGAAAGTTTGGCAAATTTTGGGTAACCAAGACTAAATCTTCGTATATTTTCGTCATTCTTTTCATTAGGCATTTTATTCGAAAATTGACTTTCTATACTGTTTGGAAAATATATAGCTTTTTTTGGATCAATAATTTTACATTGTAGCATGTAATCTTTGTTTGCCTGGAAGCTGTTTCTAAAAGAAGCTAAGTCGTGAACAAATAAATTTGAACCTCTTAATTTGCTTAAGGCATCCGAATTTCGTTTTTGCATTGGAGGAAGGGGCAAATGATATAATTTCTCCATTTTTTTATTCATTAAGTTTTCTTGAATCTTGTACAAAACACTAGCATGATTAAGTCCACATTTTGTAAAAATACTAATTGAACTTCTCTCGTTACGTATCGACATCTCCGATGGTGCAGAATGTGGCTTTACAATTGTTATGTTCATATTTTGTACTATTAACCAAGCTTTTGTATAAAATCCTAACATTATAGGTACTGGTACAGCATACTGTACTGCAAATAGGACAACTGTATATACGCGCGCAGAGTCATTAGACCATGCTTCTTCGCAAATTATTTTGCCTTCTTTAAGTTTAAGACGTAAAGTAAACATATACGGTATTATGCTGCCAAGACCGCACCCATGAATTGTCACTATAATTAGAGCTGCTCTCAGTCCCTTATTGACTAACCCAAAAGGTTGGGCCACCACTTTCCAGCGTTCAAATGCTATTACCATTAATGTGAAAACTCCTGTGTTAACAGCATATGTAGAAATTGGGTTAATAATTTTACAACCAAATAGACCAAACGGAAAATTATCGGATGCTCGAAGCAAAATATCAGCTGGGATTGAAACAACTACCATAAGTAGATTGCACGCTCCCAAGTTAAAAATCAACTTATCAACAAATTTTTTTAATTTTCTTATGCGAACGAGTGTAACAATAAGTAGAGAGTTGCCTAATATACTTAAGATGAGCACAATGTACTGAATAATTGTGTATGGAAGTTGAATCCACGGATTGTTAACTTCTGATACTTCTTGTGTCGCATTCCAAAACATAGTTTAAAGTTGATCTAAAAACGAAAATAAGTGTTTTGTAAGTTTTATTCAAAAAAAAAAATTAGTGTCAAATACAACAAGTATAATTTATAAATTTTATACTGATTGGAGCATGAATGGGGTGAACCAAGTCTGATTTATTGACATTACCTTTTTTATTAAAACTTTATCTTTTTTATTTCAAGTGTGGTTTTTAAAAATTTATAATTTTAATATATTTTACTTACAAAAACATAAATATCTTCAGTTTTATTGAAGTATTTGTCTTTAAAATTGTACAGTTGTTATTAATTTATCTGTGACGATGGAAACTAGAATTACAAAATTTAAAGTACGAATTACTTAGTTTGATTGCAGTTTGTCAGACTGACACAAGCAATAAACCAATTTGTTGGTCTAATGCGGTTAAAACGGTTTATCAATCATTAGAAAAGAATTTAGTCTATACCCGGAAACAACCTTTTTGAAAAATGTAGTACATTTAGAGCAAACTTTACTTAAGATATTCTTGTTTTAGTTAAACAACTGTACGGAAGGGGGAGTTGTCGGATACGATCGACTTCCCTGTTTTATCTAATTCTCTTTGTTTTACGCAAGTTTTATCAAGAAAGGTTTCTAAACTGCTTTTTTTTTTTTATTTTCAAAAAACAAAAACCCTCCCCCTAATATTTTCACGGTACGGGCCTGTAAGGTATTGTTTTAAACAAATTATGCTGTCATTATATAAAAGTTTACTTAGAACTATCATAAATAAAAATTAAATAACAAGCTTTGAAACAATATAGATAAAAGTTAAATTTTATAGTTAGTTTTTATTGTTTTATTGATAGATTTATTGTTAGATTTTGGAGTTAGTTTCAACTTTACTATATATTAAAGTTTTGAAAAATAAAAAAACGGTTAATAGCTTTAAGATTTTGCTACTTACGTTATAAAATATAATGAAAAATGTTCTGCAGTAATTTCCTTTCTTTACTATATATTATCCATAAAGTACGCCAAAAAAAAATTTAAAAATTTGACCTCCTTTTCATTTAAAATCTCTCTTAATAGTGCATACGTTTTTGAAATAATTTTCTCCTTCGTCTCTCTACGAATTAAAAATAATAATTGGAGTGGGGTTTTTTAAAATAAATTATAAAATTTTGTCTGAAAAAAATCTACGTGATACACTAAAGTGCCAAATAAACGTCCCCGTCCCTTTACTCGGCAACAAATAATCCTCAACACTTTTTCAAGCTTCTTGCAACTTATTACCATTTTTTTGTTACTTTTAAAGTATAAAGTGGTACTACCCTGCACATTTTATTTTCTAAAATGAGATCTTTCTCTTGAAATGATATACATTTTTAGATAGTAGTTAAAAAACTGAATATAAAAAACACCATTTTTCTACTTATTTGTCACAAAAAAATGTCAGCAAAAAAAAAAAAAAAAAAACATGCAGTCACAAGAACATAAATACCTTTAGTAATATTTGAGATAAAAGCTTTTACAAACATATATTTAAATGGTTGGTCGAGGGCCCTTAATAGAATTTTTTTTAAATACCGAGCCAAATGGCTGATATTAACCTCTAAGCCAAAATGGCCGATATTAACCTCTAAAAATCATACAAAATGATCCGTGGGGTATGCAAAATTTTAAATTCTGGTCAAAATAAAAAAATAATTTTTGATTATTTGACTACTAGCCTTTTCTATAACATCAATGAACAAACTGTGAAAATTTCGAAGAAAAAAAGTAAATAGTTTCTAAGATTTCAATGTTCAAGTTTAAAAATATTTGAAAAATATTATTCTTAGAAAAACAGCCTTTAAAAGAAAAAATGTCATTAACTAAATTATTCTCTAATTAAAAAACATCTGAACTGGCGAGAAAAATATGGTTACCACCTTTAATATTTTATTCCGACTCAAAATAACCTTTTTACAGTACCAATAAAAAAATTGTAAAAATAGGGCAAACACATTAACAGACATGGTTGCTACGGCCGTTGGTAGGGGTTCAAAAAGAATCTTGTTGCCTTTAAATACAAATTTTAGAACTTTCTGTTTTTTTTTTGAAGGAAAGTAAAGTGGTTCTTGTGATAATTTTTTTTGTTCTTTTTGCTGATTTTAACAGGGTAGTTACCATATTAATTACTAAAATACTTAAAGAACTTTAAGATTAAGTAAAAGAACTTTTTTATTACTGTTACTGCACTAAAAAAAAAAAATGCAAGTTGCAAAGGGCAAGAAAAAAATGTTGTCGATTTTTAATGTCGAATAAATAGGTTGGGATGTTTATTTGACACCTCAAAGTAAAAATGTAATAATATTGTCAAGCAAATTCGTAGTATGCTTTTTGGATAGCAAAAAAGTACAAATGTCTCAACACTGATTTTGCTAACTCGGAGTAAAATCACAAGGTATCCATACAAGTAAAAGCACTTTTGTATTTTTACTTACCAACAAGGCATTTGTGACAAAGTATTTTAACGGAATAACTATTATTTTGCCAGTCAATTAATTTTAACTATTTTAAGGTACAACTTAAATTTTAGTTATACAAATTACAATCGGGGGTTATAATTTAGTTTTGAAATGATTTGTAGTGTTTTATTTTTATTATGAAACATTTTTTACATTATAAAGTTTGAAAAATTATAAATAAATAAAACTTTTAAAAAAAGCTATTAGAAGTTTAACGACAAAATCGCTTTTACACTTGTTACCCTTTATAAGACCAGATTGTTGCGTTCCAATCACTACAGTTGAATCGTTTGCTTTTAAACCTGTTACCCTTTGTAAGACCAGATTGTTGCGCACCATTCACCAAAGTTAACTTTTTTATGTAGAAAAATCAATTTTTTTTAATTAATAACCCAGAAAGTTTTAGAAAAAAGAACTTAGCATTTCTTTTTTTTTAGACGCCTAAAAATTGTTATTTATTTAAAAGTATTTATTAATTGAAAATTATTTGATAACTGCTATAATTTAGAAAATAAGTCAAAAGTTAAAAAAATAATAAGATTTAACTAGTACATTTTTACTTTTATATTTGACTCTCACCCCACTCTTTAAGGACTTCTTTGGTGCTCAAAAAAGCTCTAACTGTCACAGAGTACCGCGGAAAAGTATTTAACTAGAAATTTCACGCCTCCTTTCTTACCAATGTCGCTTATCTACCATCGAATAACAGATCTCTTGGATCGTGTATGCTGATATTAAAATTGATTCCTTTTTTTTTTCCATCTCGTTGGTTGTATAATTAGTTTATAAATTTTGTTTAATATAGAAGGTATATACACAATTCAAATATCTACAGCATAAAATGAAATACTTACATAACAAAGTTCTAAACAGCTTTAGCAATATGATATTTAAAAGTTTGTGAGAAAAAAAAACAAACACAAACAACAACAAAAATCAGACACAAAATAAATTATTAAAAAAAAATCGGCTTTATTGAAACCACTAAAAAGTTTTAAAACAATTGCTAAAATGTTTTTTATTTTTTAAATACATCTTTAATATTGTAGAATTATTTTAAAAGATTGTCAGACAGATTTTCTTTCTTTTCTTTTCACTTTTATTTTTAATTGAAAATATATTTGTATGAGTTTTTATGGTAATTATTTACGTTTATATATCATATAATTGTTCAATTATAAAAAGTTTAGTTTTTAATCTGAAATAATGTTAAATCATGCTAGTAGCTTAAAACCTTGCTACATTTGAGCTATTTTTATTATTTGACCTGTAAAATAAAACTAAAGATTAGCGAGCCACGTTAAACACATCATATTTTATTGCTTTCTCAATATTTTAATGCAGTAGTATTGTAGTAGTACAGCGCTCGTACGATAAACAAGCAGTTTCGAGTTCGATTCTTACTTCTTTCCTGGTAATACCGTCTTCAAGTTGTTTCTCCACGCACCGGTCTAGTTTGTCAAGATTTTAACGAACAAGGATTTTGACCAAAATATTAAACAAGTCTCTTGACTGCAGTGGGAAAGTTTTAAAAACATTTTTAGAAAGATATACACTGCTATCTTGCTGAAAACAAATCCAACAACCTACATTGCTGTTATAAATGTTACAACTGTTCTAACCAGTTGCGCTTGCATTATTATTTTTTTAATTTTCTTTTTTGTTTCCACCTAAAAGTATTCGGATTAGAAAATTTGGAACAGTATAATAAAAACAATGCTTTATTGTTAAAACGACTATTTTTAAACTAGGTCA